GGCCCCACCTCCCCTTTCCCCCAAGCACCCAGAGCTCCCTCTTGTGTCATCTCACCCCGATCATTTTCTGCTTGCCCCTCTCGCCCCTTCCCCGCACCCTCTTCTCCCGTCCGCCCCTTACGCGGCCCCTCTTCGCGGCAGAGGGAGTCCTGGTCGCGGAGAAGGACTTCAACCTGCCCAAGCACTTCGAGCTCCCACCCTCTTGCCCGTGATCTCACGTCTCCCGTCGTCCACTTCCCTTTTTCGCCCCTCCCTTCGCCTCTCCTCTCATCCCTTTGCACAGAGGGATTCCTGTTCGCGAAGAAGGATGTCAACCTGCCCAAGCACCCCGGCCTCCCAGCCTCTTTCTTGTGTCATCTCACCCCGTTCATTCCTGCTTGCCCCTCTCGCCCCTTCCCTGGCCCCTCATTGCAACAGAGGGAGTCCTGTTCGCGGAGAAGGACTTCAACCTGCCCAAGCACCCCGAGCTCCCAGCCTCTTTTCTGTCTTCTCACCCTTTTCCTTTTCCTCTTCCCCTTGTTCTCCCCTTCCCTGGCCCCTCGTCGCAACAGAGGGAGTCCTGTTCGCGGAGAAGGACTTAAACCTGCCCAAGCACCCCGAGCTCCCAGCCTCTTTTCTGTCTTCTCACCCTTTTCCTTTTCCTCTTCCCCTTGTTCTCCCCTTCCCTGGCCCCTCGTCGCAACAGAGGGAGTCCTGTTCGCGGAGAAGGACTTCAACCTGCCCAAGCACCCCGAGCTCGAGGTCCCCAACCTGCAAGTGAGTAGCCTTGGTCCGATCTCGAGACTCCTCGCGTGCATTAGCTGTCTGGGATAGCATTCTGGTATACCATTGTCCGTCCGCCGTCCTCCTTAAGTCCTTGTCTCGTATTACCCCAAACCCCCACACCCACCCTTCCCTCCTCATCTCCCCGCTCCCACCACTCCCTCCTTATCCCTCCGCCTTCAACCCAATTCCCTCCCACCTCTCCCCCCCCAGGTGATCAAGCTGATGCAGAGCTTCAAGTCGAAGGGGTTTGTGCGCGAGACGTTCGCGTGGCGGCACTACTACTGGTACCTCACCAACGAGGGCATCGAGCACCTCCGCGACTACCTCAACCTCCCCTCCGAGATCGTTCCCGCCACCCTGAAGAAGTCCTCCCGCCCGCCCGGCCGCCCCATGGGCGCTGGCGGCGACCGCCCCCCTCGGTAAGTCAACGCCAGTCAGCGTCAGTCAACGCTGGTCACTTGTGGAGTAAGCCCCCTCCAAAATCAACCCTTTCACCCCTGAAGAAGGCCTAATTCAATGCAGTTCAATTGTGGAGATTTTGTAGTCCCTCCTGAAATCCCCGTAGCCCTGTGAAATCATTAATTTACCCTGACTTCCCCTTTATTTGCCATTTATAATTTCCCCAACTTACCCGCCCTCTCTCATTTCCAAGGACTACGGGGAAAATAACAATTCCACCACCCGTATCTTCTCAAACCCGTTTGAGGGAGGTCTGTCCTATTGTTAACTGCAAGGGCGAACCTGGTTAGCAAATTCTGATCATTCGTTCCCTTCTCTCCGTTTTTCCATACTCCAGCCGTTTCGAGGGTGGACGGGGCTATGGGGACCGCGAGGGATACCGCGGGTACGGTGCCGGTGGTGATGACAAGGCCGGTGCTCCGGGCGCGTACAAGCCAGCGTTCAGGGAGGTGAGTTCAGTTAGCTTTCTCACAGCCGTACAGCTTGCTTTGTTGTTGTGGATGGATCCTGACTTTTTTTCAGTTCTTACTGTTCCTCTGGTCCCACTGCTGAATTGTTTTCTTGTGGGGTTGCAGCCACAACAGTGCTTCAGTCCCGACTTTCTTTCAAGTTGACTGAGTATTCAAATTGTACTTGATTGTTCTGAATGTGCCTCAGGGTGGCGGCCGTGGTGGCTTTGGCCGTGGAGCTGGGGGATATGGTGGTGGCGACTATGGCAGCGCTCCCGGTGCTCCTGGGGCCCCTCCTCCCGCTGTGTAAATGAGACTTGGGCGTTCGCTCTTGGGCTGAAATGATTAAATTCTGTCTATGCTCAAGATAAGATGCCTTTGTATGGCCGTACCCGCTCCTGCTCAGCTATTGTGGGTGGGGCGAGTTTTACAAGCCCCTTCTGGTGCAGTAGGATGAGGATGGGCTCAAGTGTTGGCATTATGCTTCTTGATCAAGTGTTGCTGCTAATGTTTCTCATTCTGTCTAGTGCAATGAAGCCAGAGACCTCCAAGTTGAAAGCTTGGGTAATCACTGACATATACCCTTACTACATTTATTTGTCAATATGTCTGCAGCATTTAATCACTTGATGTAGTGGTTAGTTTCATGTAATCGAGGTGGCCGTTATCGAACTTGCGTTGGATGCTGCTTGCAGCCGGACGAGGCAAGACGCTTCGACACCGCAGCGCTCCGCCTTTGACCAGGGTACAGTGTGCTCAACTTCAGTCTGCAGCTAATCAAAATCGTTCCCGCGTGCACTTTGTCACAATCCTCTTGTGCCAGTGACTGAAGGTGAAGGGAACCATACCAACGCCTCGGAGAGCCAAACCAGTTCTGACTGCTCCGAGCCTGCTAAATAGGCTTGTCACGCCCCGGTAGGCTCGGGCAGAGGCAAACCGTGTCGCAACCTACGGATGTAGGCACGTGTCCTCCTCGTTGACGGCGACGATGAGCTCTCTTTGTTTGTCCTGAAACTTGATATCATCCTTCAGAGAGAATTGCTCGAGTGCCTTGTTTGGTGATTCGCTCTTGCCCACGTGTCCCCGAATTGATCGAGTGGCCATCCAGTTCAGTGATAATTGCTCGAGTGGCCATGCCAGGGCATTTTCGAGGTATTTTGTTTCCCTGGCACATAACCCTACAAGAGTTCGTACCCCCGAAATTCCTCGTTCACACAATAGTAGATGCGCGGTCATTTTCGGCCCAATGCGCGACCAATGAGCGCGTGGGCAATTACATCAGCGATCATAAACTGCAACGCCAGAGCATAAATGCACGAACATATTATTGACCGCGCACGATTGGTCGATAATATGCTTCTTGCCCTTTTTGGCAATGCGCGTCCAATCACGCACTGTCATATAATTCACGAACATATATTTAGGCAATAAAGGGTCGCCCAAAAACCAATATGAGCGCGCATATACTACCATTAGTTCTATCATATGTCAGGTCTATATAAAACTATGTATATCAAATGCCATAAATACATTTTCTGCTATTAATTTAAGCACATCATATTAGACATAATATTTTATCGTGGCCTATCATAATATTAATTGAAGCCCATCATACGGTGGTCCATAATATTGTATTTCAGGTAATATGGTTGCGTAAATCATACGTTCGGCAGCATAATATTAATTTAAGCCCAGCATAATATGCTGCCACCACGGTTATGATGGGATTAAATTGATAGCAGAGAATATATTTATGTCATTTGATATACATGGTTTTATATGGACCGGAAATATGATAGAACTTATGGTAGTATATGCGCACTCATATTGGTTGTTGGGCGACCCTTTATCGCCTAAATATATGGTCGTGAATTATATGACCGTGCGTGATTGGACGCGCATTGCCAAAAAGGGCAAGAAGCATATTATCGACGAGTCGTGCGCGGTCAATAATATGTTCGTGCATTTATGCTCTGGCGTTGCAGTTTATGATCGCTGATGTAATTGCCCACGCGCTCATTGGTCGCGCATCGGGCCGAAAATGACCGCGCATCTACTATTGTGCGAACGAGGAATTTCGGGGGTACGGACCCTTGTAGGGTTATGTGCCAGGGAAAAAAACACCTCGAAAATGCCCTAGCATGGCCACTCGAGCAATTATCACTGAATTGGATGGCCACTCGAGCAATTCGGTGACACGTGGGCAAGAGCGAATCACCAAACAAGGCACTGGAGCAATTCTCTCCATCCTTCACCACAAAACTTCCAGCGTCGAGTTCACCTGATTCCTCCCTTCCCCAGCCTCGAGCTCATCTCTTCTTCCCTTATCTCCACAAATACTTGCAGAAAAAACCTGCAGGAGAGTTTATGGCCATGGTGTTGGGTAGCTGATTGTCAGAAAGACCACGTTAATTATTAGTTCGTTTTATTGTCCTGGTGTGCAAGTGGCGATTAAAAAGCGTCGATCGTGGCCATTACAAGTCGTTCCTAGAACAATTAGCTTGAGGAAAATCGTGCAAGCCGCTCGTAATCATAGCCGACTCTTCCTGCTCTTGCATGCCCAGAACTATTCACACGATAAGATCCTTTGTTACCAGGTCGCGAAATTACGTAAGACCAGCTGTAGGATCGATCGGGTCCGCGGCATGGCGTCCGCGATATTCAATAGAATGGACCTTCTCACCTGCTTCGTCTTCCTCCTCGTTCTGGGCCTGAGCCAACGCTTCCACCTCCTCCCGTCCGTCCCGTCGCCGGAAGAGTTTCTATCCGACGCGATGGTCCACCAATCGGGAGTGTCAGTTGCCGACGAAAGCTCGAGAGGGCCGCGGAGGCGTCTGTTAGAAGCTTCGTCACAGGTATCGCATGTTCCGTTCCTAGTCCTCGTCACTCTATTTCTACAACGACGCTCCCAGTGGTGGCGGTCCTTTGTTAGTCCCCTCGAAGGCCATATATCTACTTGTGTAACGATGCCGATGCTCCCACTGGCGGTAACCCAACGACTTAGAAAAGGACCTTTGGGCTATGTCAACTGGGTCTCGAGATTGAATTGGGACTCGGTGAGCCATTATCCTGATTCGCGCCGTCAGTTTCGTGCAGACTTGCTGTCGCAGAACGACTTAGCAGATTGATTATGTGCGGATAAATTTAGCCGGTATTTCTTTCAATTTAACGAGTTTGACGGAATCTCCGAGTCATTTCGAAGAAACACTCACTGACTCGGTGATCACATGGTGATCATACAAGGACTTCGAGCACAAAATTGGATACGCCGATCTTTACTCGACATGTTCGCGGATGGTCCCGTCCGTACTGGAGTTGCCTTTGAAAATGCTCGAAAGCCGTTCGGATAGAGACATCGATCCTCACTTGGTACGTCCGTAGATGGTCCTGCCTATATCGGAGATGCTTTCGAGAATTCTCGAAGTCACCCATGTAGGAACGTCGATCCTCACTTGGCACGTTCGCGAATGACCGCGTCACTGTTGGGGTCGGCTTTGACAATTCCTGAATCTACGTGATTGGTACGCTGCAAGCGGCCGCGACTGTACTAGAGTTTTTAAGACTTGGCGTGTTCGCGATTGGCCCTGCATACAACCGTCAATCTTCTCTTGGCGTGTCCGCGATTGGCCCCGTCTCCACCGCAGGCGGAGGGTCGCGAGGCGCAGAGGCAGATGGTGCGCGCGGCGGTGGAGCGATGGCGGAAGGAGCAGCGGGCGCGCGACAAGCGGGAGATGAACGAATCCATGCCGAACACGCAGCCGCCCACAGGGGAGCGGTTCCTGCTGGGCCCGAAGATCACTGGTGAGTGTCCCTTGAGTTGACGCAAAAGTTACCTCGAGGGATGGACGAATCCATGCCGAACACGCAGCCGCCCAAAGGGGAGCGGTTCCTTCTGGGCCCGAAGATTACTGGTGTCTGCCGCTGCGAGTCGAATTATGAGTTTTTTTTTTTTTTTTGCTTCAAGTCGTTTTCGGAGCCGCCATAAGGGGAACGATTCCTGCTGGGCTTGAAAGACATTGGTAAGTGTTTGCTGCTTTTTCGAATAGTCACTGCTAAGTCAGGTTGTCGGACTGGGACGAGTACCGCGCGTTGAACCACAGCGTGCGTGAGCTTTCAGATATTGTGCTGAGCTTTCAGATCGTTGCGCCGAGCTGTCATACTGCCACGCTGAGCTGTCAGACTGCTAAGCTGGCCTGTCGGGTTACTGCGCTGAGCAGTCGGGCTGGGACGAGCCGCGCGGGGACCACGTGCGCGCAAGCGCCCGGGGAGTGACGAGACGCGGCAGGTGGAGGGGCGCGTGATGCTGGTCACGGCAACAATGTCAGGTCCCTTCGTGGGATCGACTCAACGGTCTTTTCTTCCCCCCCGCTACCCTTCCCATTTCCCGTTCCCCCCGCTCCCCCCTTTTTCCTTCCGGCGCTTTTCCCCCATCCCCTTCCCCACCTCCCCCCCTCTCCCCACGCGCAGACTGGGACTAGCAGCGCGCGGAAGCACCCGGGGAGCAACGAGACGCGAATCGACTCAACTGTCTCCGCTTTCGCCATCCCCCTCCCCCCCTTTGGGCGCAGATTGGGACGAGCAGCGCGCGGACTACGTGCGGAAGCACCCCGGTTGCAAAGAGACGCGAATCGACTTGACCGTCTCTTCTTTCCCCCCCTCCCCTCTCTCCCCCCGTCCGCACGCGCAGACTGGGACGAGCAGCGCGCGGACTACGTGCGGAAGCACCCCGGTTGCAACGAGACGCGGCAAGGACGGGGTCGCAGCCGGGCGTGTGCGACAACGACGTGGGCGACTTGCTGCTGCTCAAGTCGCTCAAGAACAAGCTCGATTACTGCTCGCCGCGAGACATCCAGGTGAGGAGAGAGTTGCTGTTTACGGGAGTTGTTATACTGCTGCATATATCCAAACCTATTTGCGGCTCAAGTCGCTCAAGAACAAGCTCGACTACTGCTCGCCGCGGGACATCCAGGTACGACGTGACTGTATCGAGCGTTGCTCGCCGTGGGATATCCGTAGGGAGGTGGCTGTATCGAGCGCTCCGCGCCAAGGGATACTGGGTTGAGAAGAAAAGGTCAGTAGGGGATAGTGAGAGAGATTATGGGAGAGCGGGGCAGAGAGAGGGTGGGAGGGCAAGGCGCGCGTGATGCTGGTGACGGGGTCGCAGCCGGGCGTGGGCGACTTCCTGCTGCTCAAGTCGCTCAAGAACAAGCTCGATTACTGCTCGCCGCGGGACATCCAGGTACGACGTGACTGTATCAAGCGCTGCTCGCCGAGGGGTATCTGTGGAGAGGTGACTGTATTGAGCGCTCCGTGAACTCGTTCTGGTTGGCACAACTTTCCTTGCCTCAACCGTCCCGCGTGCCTCTCTTTCACACCCCCCGTCCCACCTCCCTTTCTGTAAGCCGCCCCAGATTTACTAGAGGTCCCCATCCTGGATCGCTCCAAAGACTCGTTCTGGGTGACCCGTGACCCAACACCCTCCAACCTCCCAACCGCGTCCGCACCCACACCCGTTGTTCTCGGTCCTTTCCTATCAGATCTACTACAGCACGACCATCCTGGACCGCTCCACGGCCTCCTGGGTGTCCCTTGGCCCGTGCCCCCTTTCCCTCGCTCTCTCCCTCCCCGCCTCCAATCGTCCTTTCCTATCAGATCTACTATGGCACGGCCATCCTGGACCGCTCCAAAGACTCGTTCTGGTTGATCCTACACCCACCCCTACCTGCACTCTTTTTCTTCCACCTTGTCCTCCCCACTACTTGCTTACTTCCGCCGCAGATCTACTACAGCACGGCCATCCTGGATCGCTCCGTGGACTCGTTCTGGGTGACTCGTGACCCAACCTTACCGACAACCTACCCCTTCTCTTCCCTCCTTCCTTTCCATCCTTCCTCCTCAACCAGATCTACTACAGCACGGCCATCTTGGATCGCTCCGTGGACTCGTTTGGGTGAAGCTTGATGCAACCCTACCCACACTGTACCCTTTTCCGTCCCCCATTTTCCTTTCAGATCTACTACAGCACGGCCATTCTAGATCGCTCCATGGACTCGATCTGGGTGAAGCTGCCGCTGCTGCGCAAGCTGATGCTGTCGCACGCCGAGGTGGAGTGGTTCTGGTGGATGGACTCGGATGCTGTTTTCACAGGTAAGAGTGGGTGTAGTGCGGTGCAGCGTGGTGAAAGCCGGTTTGAAGAGGTGCTGGGAGGTATGCATTGTGAGGTTTCGGAGGGCAAGAAGCTGATGCTGTCCCACGCCGAGGTGCAACGGTTCTTGTGGATGGACTCCGATGCTGTTTTCACAGGTTAGAGTGGGTGTAGTGCGGTGCAGTGTGTTGCAGAGGGTGCTGGCTTATTGTAAGTGCTGTACAGGAGGGGAAGCTGATGCTGTCCCACGCCGAGGTGGAGTGGTTCTGTTGGATGGACTCCGATGCTCTGTCCATGGTTCGGAGAAAGGGCTGATGTGAGAATGAGTGGTCTCTTTGTGCTGGGAATGGGTGTACAGCGGTGAATTGCAGTGGTCTATGTGCCGTTTATCAGGTGCAAGGGCTGTTCATGCACCTCAATCGCAGATCAAACGCACGACACCCGTTCTCTTTCACATCTCTCGCCATCTCTCGCCATCTCTTTCACATCTCTCGCCATCTCTCGCCATCTCTTTCACATCTCTCGCCATCTCTCGCCATCTCTTTCACATCTCTCGCCATCTCTCGCCATCTCTTTCACATCTCTCGCCATCTCTCGCCATCTCTTTCACATCTCTCGCCATCTCTCGCCATCTCTTTCACATCTCTCGCCATCTCTCGCCATCTCTCGCCATCTCTCCACATCTCTCGCCATCCCTCCTCCGTTTGTCCTACAGACATGACGTTTGAATGTGCCGTTTGAGAAGTACGAGCCACACGTCCACATGGTCATGCATGGACACTGATGCTGATGTTCCCCTGCCCCACCCCTCCCCGTGTCCGTGCGGCCCCGCCTCTCCCCCCCCCCCCCCCACTTAAACAGACATGACCTTTGATGTGCCGTTTGAGAAGTACGAGCCACACGTCCACATGGTCGTGCATGGATACGACTCGCTGGTCTATGGCAAAAAGGACTGGTGAGCCCACCTATTCAGCAATTACGCATCACGGTCCTCTCTGCTATGTCATGTCATGCCGTGCCATACCACTCAAGAAACGCTTCTTCAAGCCCTGCACGCCTCTCTATGTGACGCACCATACATACCGTACCGTACCATGCAATGCCCCGTGATCTCACATGATGCCATTGTTCCCCGCGCCATGCCTTATGCATCACAGGGTGGGACTTAACGCTGGCATCTACCTCATCCGAAACTCGCAGGTCAGTCACACAGCCACAACCACCATCACCACCATCGACCCATGTTCGTTTCTCCTCTGCAACTTCTTGTATGATACACTGGAAAAACGGCAGACAACGGAGCCTGTATATTCCGAAGCATGGTTCGTAGTGAAGGGGCCTGCCTTCGCTCGCTCTGAATCCCAGCACCTCTGAAGCCCTCTCTCAACTCACCCACCCCCGTTCTCTCGTTCCTCCTATCTCTCCCCCAGTGGTCGCTTGACTTCATGGGAGGACTTGGCGTAGTTTGGGGTGAAGGGACTTGCCTATTCTTGCTCCGGATCCCAGGACCTCTGAATCCCTCTCTCACCCCCCATTTCTCCCATTCCCCCTCTCTTCCTCCCCCCCAGTGGTCGCTTGACTTCATGGGAGGACTTGGCGTAGTTTGGGGTGAAGGGGCCTGCCTTTCCTTGCTCCTAATCCCAGAACCTCTGAATCTCTCTCTCAACCCCCTTTTTTTCCCATTCCCCCCCGCTCCCCCCCCCCCCCCAGTGGTCGCTTGACTCATGGAGGACTTGGTTCAGTTCGGAGTGAACGAGCCTGCCCTGCCTTGTTCTAAATCCTCCTCCTATCCCCCTCCCTCACATCTTGATGCTCCCTTTCCCCTCTCTCCCTCCCCCAGTGGTCGCTCGATTTTATGGAGGACTTGGCACAGTTCGGAGTGAAAGGACCGATGAGAGACGCAGCAGGCGTGAAGCTGTTCAAGGAGCTCTCGGTAAGCCAACTCTTGTCCCTGGGCACATTGATGTGTTGTTTGAACATGTAGAGCAACTCAAAGAACAGTTTGGGGTGAAGGGGCCGATGAGGGATGCAGCAGGCGTGAAGCTGTTCAAGGAGCACTCAACCTCCCACCCTGGCCCTCGTGTTAGGCGTTCTCTAAGAAGGATACAGCATTCTCAAGCTCAAACAGCAGTTTCGGTTAGCATTCCACCCTCACACCCCTCACACCCTCAAACGGCTTCGTTTTCGCTTTCCCTGCCTTGTCGTGCTGCTCTCTGCTGCTCTTTCCCGTCCATTCCTGAGTACCCCCTTCCCCACTCCTCGCACCTACAGGCTCGGCCCATGTTTGAGGGGAATGATCCATCTGCTGCTCGTTCCCCCTCTCTGCTGCCTGCATGTCTCGTCCCCTCTTTTCGTTTACAGACGCGGCCCATGTTTGAGGGCGACAATCAAAGTGCCATAGTGTGGCCAGAGAAGTGTGCCAAGGGTATCCACCTGGAGAGTCGAGTTTTGAGTCGACTCAAAACTCACTCATATCACGTGGCTCCTCCCAGAGTCTAGTTTTGAGTCGACTCATAGTGTGCCCGGAGAAGTATGCCAAGGGCATCCACCTGGAGAGCACGGGGAGGTGATAATGTGGATGATGGCTTACAGTCTCCTCCACCTGCTGCTCTCTGGTGCCCTTCCCCCTCTCTCTCCCCTGTCTCCCGCTTCTCTCGTTCCCCCCCTTGTCTCACTCCTTCCCCACTCGCCTACAGACCCGGCCCATGTTTGAGGGCGACGACCAGAGTGCCATAGTGTGGATGATAGCTTACCACCCGGAGAAGTATGCCAAGGGGATCTACCTGGAGAGCTCCTTCATGCTGCACTCCTTCTGGCCCACCATCACCCCCCAGTGAGTCAAAACAGTTGAAACAAGAGTGTGCTGACACAAAGGGCTTGGAGTGTGTATGAGAATGTGCGCCAAGGGCATTCACCTGGAGAGCTCCTTCATGCTGCACTCCTTCTGGCCCACCATCACCCCCCAGTGAGTAAAAACAGTTGAAACAAGAGTGTGCTGACACAAAGGGCTTGGAGTGTGTATGAGCATGTGCGCCAAGGGCATTCACCTGGAGAGCTCCTTCATGCTGCACTCCTTGTGGCCCACCATCACCGTGCAGTGAGTTAAAGCAAGCAAGCTTGTGTTGACTGAAGGGGTGCGGAGTGTGTGCGTGTCTGTTAGCCAAGCACATGCACCTCGAGAGCACCCACGTTCTGCACTCCTTCTTGCCCACCATCACCCCTCAGTGAGTTGGTTGATGGAAACAAGGGTGTGCTGTATGAAGGGACGGAAAGTGAGTGGGTGTGTCTGTTAGCCAAGGGCATCTATCGGAGAGCTCCTTCATGCTGCACTCCTTCTGGCCCACCATCATTCCTACCTTCTCGCCGTGTGTCTTTCCCCCTGCCTTCCGTTGCACATGTTATCCATCCCCCACTCACAGCTACGAGGAGTTGATGGACGCGTAGCACCCGGGGTACAGCGATCACTGATGGCCGCTCATCACTTGCTTACCTGTCTCGCTCTCTTCTTCTCCCCTTCCCCAACCCCACCCCCCATACCCAGCTACGAGGAGCTGATGGACAAGTACCATCCGGGGTACGGAGACCACCGGTGGCCGCTGATTACCCACTTCGTGGGGTGCAGGCCGTGCGGCAAGATCGGACAGATTGAGTACGAGGAGACACAGCGATGCGTTGAAAACATGGAGAGGTGAGTGCATGGAGGGGTGCGAGCATTGGTGAGATGCTAGTTTTGCGGGGTACCAGTCGTGCAGCAAGATGGGGCAGATTGAATATGAGGGGACACAGCGATGCGTGGAGAACATGGGGAGGTTTGTGTATGGAGGGGTATGGAGAGGAGGGGTCATCTCGTTGTGGGTTGAGAGTCGTGCAGCAGGATTGGGCAGATTGAGTATGAGGCACAGCGATGCGTGGAGAACTTGGAAAGGGCGCGTGTTGGGGGGTAACGAGAGGAGTGTGCATGGATCAGGATTGCACTGCAAGGTTTTGGTAGGTGGAGTGAGAGCTCTGTGACTGGATGGGGATATTGAGTGGCCATGTAGGGTGCAATTTGTGCAGCAAGACTGAGTAAATTAAAGTAATAGGAGAAAGATATGTGCAGGGAAGATGGAAAGCGGGTGTCATGCTTTATTGTACTGCTCTGTCGTTAATATCTGCCCCTTTTCCTTGTTTGTCATCCACAGGGCGTTCAACTTTGCGGATAACCAAGTGTTACGCAAGTTTGGATATGAGCACCTTCATTTGGATACGTTCCAAGTTGTGAAGATCAACTTTACTACGTACAAGGCATCGGAGTTCGACTCGCATCCGCTAAAAAATACAGTTGGATTTCTAAAAATCCTTTCCAATGGTAGGGTGTCGTGGAATTACATCTTAGGCAATAGCATCCTATCTAAGGAATGGGTAGGACGTAGGACTGACGAAATATTTATTTCCCTTAATTCTTCCTAGTAGTCCTGATCAAAACCGTTGCAAATAATCTTGAGAGGGTTTCATTGTTTTGTGCAGCTAGCAATTAAAAGGGTTAACAATGGCCTATACGGTTCTAATTTATAGACGACCACTGAATATCAGTGTTTGGAATTTCGTCAGCTTAGCGGAGAACAGGTACGTTGGAGCCCCGTTTCGCCATCGTCGTTGAAAGGGCGGGAAACGCAGCGGCCGTCACGTTCCGTCATCTACTAACGCCACGTATGCGCCCTATTTGCTGACTAAGCGGACCGTTCGGTTCCCCCGAAGAGTGGTGCAGGGGGGAGAAGAAGCCTCCAGATTTCAAAATTCGCCCACTTTCCGAGTCGCGGTGCCAACATTTTCAACATTACCCAAATTCGCCCCGGCCTCAAATTAGGGGAGATTGCAGTCACAGTTTTCAGTATGAACTAGAGGATTCCTCAAAACTCTTCTCTCGTTGATTTTCTGACTTGCATCTGTGCTGTGGTAGTTTGTCAGAAGGAATAGGCGCGACGTGCACAGAGACAGGGGCGACGCTTGGCTCGTAAAAGCAGCTTTGACCATTAGCCTGGAGAGAAACTGGCGAGATTCGCGAATCTTGAAACGTGCATCACGTCTGCCGCTAGCTGGCTTGGGTTCAGGGTAGCCAGGGGTCAGAAAACGCATCGAAGCATCACAGCTGCCTGTTGAACCCGTAATACGCTTGACAACCGGCCACTGAGCCCTCTTTTACGCTTGACAGCTGTCTACTTACTGAACGCTCTAATCATTTTCAAATCGTAGTTTTGTTCTCCGCCTTTCACGGTGCTCGTGCTCTGTCGCTTTTGACGTTAAAAAAACTCCAGCACTGCCGTTATGCTGCAGGTTAGAACACGCTATGTACACAGGAGTGCGTCCTAGTAATATTCATAGTAGTAGTATCATAAGTAGGTCCTCGGGTTTAACGCTTCCCTAACAGTCTCGCCACTCTCGTCCAGACGAAGGTGTTCGCAGGGCTATTGGAAATATTTAGCAGCGAAGATTCTCATTGATATGTTCGGTACAGGGTGACCTGTTAGACGACTCAGAAATCTTCGAACGGAGGACGGACAGGAACGACTAGTTCCTTCTGGTGGTAACGCAACACTCGTGTGTCGCTCCTTCTCCGGAACGACGTAACGAATCATTTTTTCCCGCTGCGCGTATTAGAAATTCTCCACGGTTTTTGTTCCCGCAACTCACGTATGGCTGCGATCCGCTCTCGAGCATTTTCATCCCTTCATTACCAGAGCCGGGCCGATTTGAGGCTCTGGGCGCTTTACGCCGTCGCTGCGCTACTACTACTTATCGGGATCGAGCCGCGCCTGTCTGCAGCAGCATCTGCGCATGAACTTATGGTTAAGGCAACTTCCGTGCCGCAAACGCCGCACGTGTCAGCAGCAGCAGCAGCAGCAGCAGCGGCGGCAGCGTTTGGGCATGAGATCGAGCCGCGTCTGCCAGCAGCAACAGCGGCTGGGCATGGGGTCGTGCGAAACTCTCGCTCCGTCTCAGCCGCCCACAACAGCGGCATAGCTGTTACGAACCGCTCCGCTTCCGCGGCCAAGAAGCCTCGCGCAACGCTCGCAAGCACGCCGCTGTTCCCGTCGATTCTCCGCGCTCTTGCGCATTTCTCCTTCGAGAATTCTCGGTTCTCTTCACTTCCCGGTTCGGTTAGCGACGTCGCGAAAACAGCAGAAATCGATTCGCAAACGATCCCTCCGCGGGGCGTCGAGCAGCGGGAGTTGGTCGACAAGTCTGAAGCGTCGATGGAAGCTTTAAACCATCCAGGAGTATATTCACCACAGTCCCGTATTCGTGTCGCTAGAGAGTTACATGCGTCGGAAGCGGCAGCGGCAGCGGCGGCGACGGCGCCGGCATCACTATCCCCCAACAATCCCGCTCTCTTCCCTACCATAGAATCTCCGATCGTTATTCTTAGCGGCACGTCGCCATCCACGATTGCGACAGGTGGACTGATCGACGACTCAGACGTGCCGTTGCCGGCGGCGGGAGTCCAACGGCGGCGCGGCGGCAAGTCAAACGCGCTTCCGTACCTCGCGTTCCTCGCCACCACTGGTCTGTCTTCGCTCATCAAGCCACGCGGCTCGGCAATTTCTGCAACATCCGCAACTTCCGCAGCTCCGGCTACAACCGCGGCATTTGAAGCGTCTCAAAGGGCATCCACAGGATCAGCAGGTTCCTCAAATTCGGCACCACCTGGCGCGCAAAAGCGCGCCGGCGGGACTCCGAGCGCTCCGCCTGCGCCTCCCGCTCCGCCAAAGCCCGCAGCTTCCGCGCCCCAATCCTCTGTGCCCGCCATTCCTTCCCCCGTCCCCGCTGGCACTGCTGTTGCAAAGGGGAGTGCGACTAAAACGAATTCTAGTGGCGGCGCAGCAGTCAGTGTGGGAACACCTAGCGGGGAGGCAACGGGTGGGGGAGCAAGTGGTGGGGGAGCAACAAGCGGGGAAACAGCGAGCGGGGGAGCAGCGGGCGGGGGTGCAACGAGCAGCAGCAGCAGCAGCAGCAGTGACAGTAAGAGAAGTGCCAGCAGCATCGCAAGTAGTAACAGCCAGAGCAGCAGAGACAGTAGAGCCAGCAACAACAGCCAAAGCAGCCAGAGCAGTCAGAGCAGTCAAAGCAGTCAAGGCAGTCAAAGCAGCCAGATAAGCCAGTCTAGTCAGAACAGTCAGAGCAGTCAGAGCAGTCAAAGCAGTGTGAGCATTCAAACGGGTAACAGCACGAAACCCACTGGTACCACCAGCACCACAGCAGGCTCAGCTGTCCCAGGCAACGGAACAGCCAGCAGCAGTAGCGGCAGCAGCGGCAGCAGCAGCAACCCCAAAAAGCCTGTCACCCCACCCACTGTCCCGAATGCCACTGTGTCCGGAGCCCTGTCACCCAGCCCTCCTCCTGTCACCAGCAAGACAGCAGGCTCAGCAACTGGGCAGGGCAACGGAGCAGCCAACAGCAGCAGCGGCAGCAGCAGCAACCCCAAAAATCCTGCCATCAATCCCACTGCCCCAAATGCCACTGTGTCCGGAGCCCTACCGCCCACCCCTCCTCCTGTCACCAACAATGGTAGCAGCGGCAGTAGTAGCAGCAGCGGCAGCGGCGGCGGCACCGGCAGCAGCGGTGGCGGTAGCGGCAGCAGCAGCAGTGGCAGCGGCGTTGGCGGTGACGGTGGCAACAGCATCCCCGGAAAGCCCGTTATTGAATCCAGCGCTCCCAATGCCACTGTGTCTGGAGCTCTACCACCCAGTCCTCCTCCTGTAACCAGCAACAGCAGCAGCGACAGTGGCACTGGCGGTACCAGCAGCAGCGGCAACAGTGGCAGCGGTGACAGCAGCGGTGGCAACAGCAGCATCAGCATCAGCGGCAGCGTCAGTGGCAGCGTGGGCATCAACAACAGTAGCGGGTTCGGCGTGGGACGTTGGGATTACCAAGCAGCAGCCACGTTCTACGGCGAACCGGATGCTACAGGAACCATGGGCGGCGCATGCGGTTACGGTAACCTGTACAATACTGGTTACGGCACCATGACAGCCGCAGCATCTATCGGTATTTTCAACAATGGTCTGCTCTGCGGCGCGTGTTACGAGGTTGAGTGTCTTGGTTCGCCAGCTGTTCCGCCCGGGTTTCGCGTTTGTTCCGGAAAGCGTGTGATTATAACAATTACTAATCTGTGCCCGCCGGGCGGTAATGGCGTGTGTAACGCTCCACATCGCCACCTGGATATGAGCGAACCGGCCTGGCAGGTGCTGTCCCCGATTCGAGGCGCCGGGATTCTTAAAACGCGGATGAGGCGCGTTCCCTGCTGGAAGAAGGGCGGAATAATATTCCTAATGACCGGAAACCCTTATTATTTACAAGTTCTGGTGTATAATGTGGCGGGGGTTGGGAGTATATCCGGGTTTGAAGTCAACGACGGAAGTGGGATGGGTTGGGAGCGGTTCAAACACAACTGGGGCGCATATTACTCCAAGAGCAAGAAATACGGCGGGAGGTCACTGTCTTTCCGAGTAACTGCGAGCAACGGAGAGGTGCTGACGATCCTGAATGCTGTTCCCGCGGATTGGTCGCTCGGGGTGGCGTATCAAAGCAGGCTCAATTTCAAAGCCAAGCCTAGAGTTAGACCACCACCACCACCACCACCATCGCCGCTGCCAGTGTCACAACCACTGCTGCCACCAGCAGCACCAGCAGCAGTTGCTGCTGCATCTGATGG